CCATTTATTAATATATATTGGATTCCTGACATTACCTAATGGGGTTGAGGCGGTCACTATTAATGAGATGCAATAGCTACTCTAAAGAGGTTCAATATCAGGGGTCTCTTTCTCATAAAGACTATAATAAAAATCTGGTATAATCAGAAATTCTCTGATCCAGAACATCTAATATTAAAGTTGAGAATGTTATTAAATGTATAGTATGAAGGATTTCTATTTTTCAAAAAGTGAAACTTCCTCCCTAATAAGTATTTGACGTTAAAATACTACTTACTACAATTTGTTTTTTGATGATGTAGAACTTCTTATATCTTTTCTATGTATCACTCTGATTCAATAAATATGTAATGAACCTTAACTATAAATCAGGCTTAGATGTGGGTTGTAGAAGGCACACAAAGGTGAGTAGACAGGCTTCTGTGCTCAAGTATCTTCTATATTTTCTAAACATGAAGGTTTTTTCCTCTTTTATTTTTAATGGACACATAATAATCGTACATATTTGTAGGATACAGAATGATATTTCATGCATGTATAAATGTGAAATGATCAAATCAGGGTAATTAGCATAGCTGTCACCTCATACACATCATTTGTGTGGTGAACATTCAAAATCCTCTCTTCTAGTTTCTAAAAATATACATTAAATTATTCTTAACCATATTAACCCTACAGTGCTATAGAACATTAGAATTTATTCCTCTCATCTAACTTTTTATCCTTTAACCAGCCTCTCCCTATCCTCCCGTATCTCCTGTGCTTCCCAGCCTCTAATGACTGCAATTCTGCTTTTCACTTCTGTGAGCTCAATTGTAAATATCAGTTTTAACTGAAATGAAGATGTGAGAAAGTTCATGGTTTTAGAGATTCTAGCTTGTTGAATACCAGATGGCAGGTTTATAATACTAGGAAAGATAATGATCTAATAGAAAAGAAAAGCACATTAGAACATTCTAGACTCTTCCTGAACACAGGCATAACTTAAAGGTATTCTGGGTTTGGTTCCAGGCCACATGAATAAAGCAAATCATGAGAATTTTTGGTTTCCCAATACACATAAAAGTTACATTTATACTACTCTATAGTCTACTAAGTGTGAAATATCAATATATCTAAAAATAATCTACATACCTTAATTTAAAAATACTTTGCTGCTAAAAAGTTCTAATGATCATCTGAGCCTTCAGCAAACTCACTTGCAGGTGGAGGGTCTGGCCTTAATGCTGGTGGCTGCTGACTGATCAGGGTGGTGATTTCTTAAAATAACACAACAATGAAGTTTGCCCATTGATTGACTCTTCCTTTCACAAAAGATTTCTCTGTCGCATGCCATGCTGTTCAATAACATTTTCCCACTGTGGAGTTAAATTGGAGTCAATCCTCTCAAACCCTGCTGCTGCTTTATCAACTAAGTTTATGTAATATTCTAAATGCCTTGCTGTCATTTCAAAAATTTTCACAGCATCTTCATCAAGAATAGATTCAATTTCAAGAAACCACTTTCTTTGCTCATCCATAAAAAGAAACTCTTCATTCATCCAAATCTGATGGTGAGATTGTAGCAATTCAGTCACATCCTAAGATTCCACTTCTGATTCTAGTTTTCCTGCTATTTCTACCACATCTGCAGTAATTCCCCCCCACCCCCCAAAGTCTTGAACCCCTCAAGGTCATCCATGAAGGTTGGAATCAACTTTTTCCAGACTCCTATTAATGTTGATATTTTGACCTCCTCTCATGAACCACAAATGTTTTTAATGGCATCTAGAATGGTGGATATTTTTCAGAATGTTTTCAATTTACTTTCCCCTGATCCATTAGAGGAATACTATCTATGGGAGCTAAAGCCTTAAAAAGTATATTTCTTGAAAAACTGTGGTGTCATGCTTTTCTTTTTTTTTTTATTTCAGGATATTATGAGAGTACAAACATTTTGGTTACAAGTTATGACTTTGATGTCTCCAAGGGGAGTATACATAACAAGATAAATTTGAATCAATGTTTTTTTAGTATAGCCTTAGAATCAGAGACAAATTTAAATAAAATTAAGTAAATTTTAAATTTAAAAAAGAATATTTCTTAAATTTTAACTTCTCTAGTAGAGCGAAACTCATATCTATAATGACACTTAGGTATTTATTTTTAGCTATAAAATACCCTGAATCTTATATCACTAACTATCTTGTGGATATTATCACCCTCATAATGCCTATGGTTGACCTTTTGATTACTCACCAATATCCAGTCCTTTTCCCTTTTCTGGATATATCAGAGACTACACTTGTCAAGCCCCCTGTAGTTAACTGGGGGAAAGATGACATGAATACATGAGCAAAAAGTAATGGGTATCAGTTCTGACAAAACCTTTACAGTTTTCCAATCTTTCTTCTCCTACTGCTGTGATCGGGAGGTAGCTTTGTCTTGAGAACACAGAGCCACAAGGTCAAAGTGGCCTGGGTAAGTCCCCACAGGGAGTGCAGCTGCCCTGGGGAGGCACAAGGAAGAGAAGTGAACTGCCCTTGAGAGAAATACATTTTTGTCATATTAGAACACTGAGAATTGGGAAGAATACTTATGCAATATAAGCTTAACTTACCTTGACTAATGCAATGTCCCAATATAACTGTATCTCTTTTCAATCTTAAGCCCATTACCCTTGCCAACATCATATTTTCCATCAATCATACTAAAAAAATGTGAATTTTTAGTCACTTTTTTCATTCTTCTCCTTTAGCCCCTAGGCCCTTCATGTTTTGCCACATTCCATTATTTATACCTTAGACATGCCATTTAATGTTCATAGACTCCTAGGTCCAACAGAGAAATAATTGAATCTTGTCGTCTGCCTCTAGATGAAAGACACTCATCATTTTGAGCAGTGAAGAATCTTACATCTCTAGGATTTGTGAGGTGATACCTTGTTTTTGCCCAACATAAGACTCCCTCTACCTGACCTTCAGGATTTTCAATTCACCTTCCACCATAATCCCCCAGTACTTCTCAGCACACACTCTAGCCTTCACTCCAGCTCCTCACACATGCAGCCCTAATTATGGCTCTAGGCCTGTGCTCTCTGTCTTCTCTGCCTTCTAGCTTTTAAACTGAAATCCAAATTCCATGTCTTCCATGAAGTCTCTCCTGCTTGCTCTAAACTCACTGATCTCCCCTTCCTCAGAACTCTTTTTCCATGAAGCAGCAGTGTCTGATAGTTTGTTAACTAGTACTTCTCCTAATTGTTTTGTCTCTATTATCACTGAGTCTTAAAAGGCAATAGTAGTTACACTTCATACTACTTTTAAATCTGATACAATATTTAGCTTAATGCAGACTCAAAGCAAGTACTCGATATTTGTTACCTGCTTGAACCAATGTATAGATTCTCATATGAAAATCAATTTCTTCCAGGGAAATGTTATGATTTGGAACAAATCTCCCCCCTTTTTATTACAACATCTCAGACCTGGGTGTTTTCCACTGGGAAATGTGGCTGAGAGATCAGTGATTTGTTCATGAAAAAAGGAATTGAACAATGAATATATGGGGAATACCTGTACCTTCTGCTCAATTTTTCTGAGCAGAACCTAAAACTGCTCTATAAAAAAAATAGTTTTTAAAAGGAATTGGGGCCGGGCGTGGTGGCTCATGCCTGTAATCCTAGCACTCTGGGAGGCCAAGGCGGGCGGATTGCTCGAGGTCAGGAGTTCGAAACCAGTCTGAGCAAGAGCGAGACCCCATCTCTACTATAAATAGAAAGAAATTAATTGGCCAATTAAAAATATATATACAAAAAATTAGCCGGGCATGGTGGCACATGCCTGTAGTTCAGCTCCTCGAGAGGCTGAGGCAGGAGGATGGCTTGAGCCCAGGAGTTTGAGGTTGCTGTGAGCTAGGCTGATGCCATGGCACTCACTCTAGCCTGGGCAACAAAGTGAGACTCTGTCTCAAAAAAAAACAAAAATTAAAAATTAAAAAAAAAAAGGAATTGGATGTTAAGTGGTGATTTTTCAAAACCTTTGAGCTGTGTGAATAGTCCTAATATTCTTGGTAGAGGATCAGTGAACTTTAGCATTTCTTAGTATTTGCTTTCAGAAATGAGTTTAATTCTTATCTAATTACATTTTGTCAGACAAACTTTAAGAGTATTGTCAGATTAGTTCCATAAATTAAAGTAACCTGGCTTGTTCAGTTATTGTACAGATGTGTTATAATGATAATATAGATAACATAGGTGGTTTTATTTGCACTACTTTCATTGCCTTTCTCTAAAGTTATGTTAAATATAATTGGTATTTTTCTGCGCTCAAAAAAGATTCTCTTCTGAGTTGTGTCTTCCAAGGATGTTTGGTAATTATTATAGCTTTGGTTTGTTTTAAATGCTTTTCAATAAAGGTTTCTCAGTAATTAAATTCCACTGACCTAGTTTTCACTTTTCTGGTCTGTAATCCATTTCATCTCCTAAATTGATAATAAGTAATTAAGCAGATACATGGGAAAATAGCAAAAGAAGAAAGTAGAAAAACTAAAGGGTCCGAATAACTCACATACTGGATCATCGCTCACAAGATATCTAAGGGATAATCACAGTGCAGTCATGAAGGATACTCTCTAAATGCAATTACAACACTACCAGATACCACTTTTTCTTCCTCATTAGTACACACTAGTCCTTTGTAGAAACATGATGTAGAATTTTATATTCGAAGGTTTCCTTTTAAATCTATTCACTAATGAGATTCAATGGGTTGCAATTTCTCTAAAATACTTTTCGAAATTTAGTTGTGCCAGTAATGAAGAGTGCTGCTTTGACTTAAAAAATATAGGCCCAAATCATTACTTATAGCAATCATTCTTGGACACCTGACTCCCTCTTTAGCTACAAAAGTTGTCAAGCTATTTTTTAAATTAATTTATTCATCAAATTATTGAATCCCAAACAGTGTACTAGGTACTTGAGACAAAGGAGTAACACTCATGTCTCTCTCAGCCCACATGAAATTCTTTCAAACTTGCCTTGTCCAACATGACAGCCACCAGCCACACGTGACTGTTGAGTACTTCAAATGTGTCTTGTCCAAACTGAGATGTGCTGTAAGCAAAAGTACATACTAGATTTTGAAGAATCACCATAAAAATTAATATAAAATATCTCATTAATTTTGTAATTTATTACATGTTGAAATGACAATGTTTTGGATATGTTGATTAAATAAAATATGTTCTTAAAATTAATTTCATCTTTTTTCCTGCTTTTTTTTAATGTAGCTGCTAACAAATTTGAGATTACTATAGTCCCCCCTTATCCATGGGGGATATGTTCCAAGACCCCCAGTAGGTGCCTGAAACCACCAATAGTACCAAACCCCATATATATTACGTATTTTTCCAATATATACACATCTATGATAAAGTTTAATTTATAAATTAGGCACAGTAAGATTAACAACAATAACTAATAATAAAATAAAATAATTATAAAAATATACTGTAATAAAAAGTTATTTGATATGTGGTCTCTGTCTCAAAATATCTTACTGTACCGTGCCATGGGCAAACAGAACCAGGAAAAGGGAACACACACATAAGGGGAAACTAACTAAACATTAGTGGTTTGTATTCGTGCCTCACTTTATATTTCTAGTGAACAGTGCCTCTCTAAAATCTCCAAAGAGACAGATCATTAAATAAATAGTTACAGCAAAAGGTAATACAGAATCAGAGAAGGAAAATATGGGAACCTTGAGTCATGTTCAGATATCAGGATCCTTCTGGTGACTAGATTCACATCTAAGGAGTCCTAGTTTGAATGGCTACTTTAGCTAATTTAAAAGATTCCTCTTTTGCCATCCTCTGGCACATGCATATACTATTTTAGCTCTTAGGACATTGTACTTCAAATATTTTAATTCTGTAGTCAATACTTATTGAGCTAAACACCTTCTTAGTCATCTTGCTGTCTGTAGTACATGTCAATGTTCCTAATACACAGAGAGTGGGCATTAAATGATGAAAACATACTTTCCAGAAAGCTATGAACTAAAGTTAACAACCTGGGATGTCTTTGCATACAATTAATGTTACTATCAGTTGCCATGGTACACTGTCCTCTCTGCCAGGAACTGAGATATTTTGTTATTCACTCCCTACAGATGTTCAGCCTGGTGGAATTGATATTTAATGGCATTACTGTCAACACCTGATGATCAACTGCTTCCTAGATCCTGGCACTGCAGCAACTGTCTGCTGTCTAATATGAAACATGGCAAGACAGAAGTGTGCTAGAAGTTATGCCCCAGTACCAGATCCAGTCTCACATCCATAAAGAAAATTGGACAGTGCTCCTGCATGGTAGACTTTCATCTTGATCTGAGGTTTGATGCATCTTTGACTGACAGACTACCAAATGATGTGTTGGCTTCTGGAATGTGGTTTATATCCTTGCCTAATACTGTATAACCTTGTGTGCTACTGACTTGGGGGAAAAAAATCAATCACTGCAGTTTGTCTGTATTTTAGAAACTCCAAGTCTATCTGGCAGAACTTCGCATAAGGCCTTTTTTCCTCCCAAGCTTATACTCTGCCAATTTTATAAAAGGGAACATGACCCTCTTCAAATGCTCCTAGGCAGGCCCCTAAAAAGCAGTGATCAATGAAAACAGCTTTAGTGTGATTACTTAAGTGTTTAATGGTCTTCCTCAGATTTTATCTATCAGATCCTGAGGATAATTTTATTTTTCAATAAACTAATGAGGAAAATTGGTCCTTAAAAAAAAGTTAAGCCAAATAATCACCTTCAATAGTATAATCATTGAATTGACAAAATCTATTGGCTATTTTATGTCAAATAGTGCCTCAATCAATGATTAATCAATTAACATGTAATTATTAAGCCTTAATGCTGGCCTAGCACTTTGAAAATACTAAAATGCATATAAAAGGTTAAAAATATATGTTTTGCTTTTATTAGAGTCTAAAGCTAAGATAAATCAGAAAGTTGGAAATTTGAGTTATGTAACAAAGTAATACTTTCTATAATCTTTGGAGTTGACAGAGTTAGAGAAGAAAGTAACCAGTGAGAAATACAGTATCCCCAGCAGACTTAGTTTTGTTTCAGGGGTGTCTCTGTGGAATTTCAATGCCTTACTCCCCCTCAAATATTATTAACAGATAATAGTTTCACATTCACATTCAGAATTCAGCACAAGTGCTTCTGCTTGTTATAATGTAGCAGGCAAGTTATTCTGAGTGGCCTTCAGTTATTTAGCATCAAATAAATAAATAAATGCAACAAATACAAATCTAAATGATTGCTTAGCAGTGGCAAATACAGAGCAGATAGAGGGAGCAAAGACTTAGGGATACTTTTGGAGCCTACGTTTAAGGCGTTAGCTTGGCATAAATAGACAATAAAGAAGTTGTCACCAAACTCCAAAGTTCCAACTCTCCTTTGAGAAGTTCCTGTATTTATAACTATTCACTGATCTAAAGTGCATAGAATTCCAGGGGCCTGTGGTGGCTACTGTAGTCTGCAAGACTCCAACTCCTGGTCAGACCCTCCATTGACTTTGCTATCATTAGGCTAATATTAGAGTTTCATGGCTGTTACAAATTTTGCTAATACACACTTTTCATTATTTTCATCATATTTTGAAATTTTTGTTAGTTTCTCTCTTTTTTTGGTTCTTTTATGACATTAGAGTTTAATTATCTTCGTATTCCCTGACTCTATGACCAAGCTTCTTTGAACTACTTCATTGTGTGTAAAAATGTTGTATCACTCTATTTTAAACCAACTTCTGATGATTTTCTAGTATATTGTGATTCACGTTTCAACAATTTTACTTTTTTAATTGAAAAATGAAAAATTCAATATATTTATGATATACAATGTGATGTTTTGATATATGTATACATTTTAGAATGATTAACCTCAGCTAATTAACATATCCATCGCCTCATATACTTAATTTTTGTGACGAGAGTACTTAAAATCTACTCTCTTAGTGAATTTCAGTTGTTCAATATATTATTGCTATCTGTAATCACCATGCTGTAAAATAGCTCTCTAGAACCTAGTCCTCTCATCTAACTGAAACTTTCTACCCTTTGACAAACATCTCCTTTTGCCTCCTGCCCTCTGTTCTAGCTCCTGGTAAACTACCATTTTACTTTCTGCCTTTATGAGTTCAAGTGTTTTAGATTCCACATATAAATGAGATCATTCATGAAATGTCCTGAAAAATTTAAAAATAGAACTACCATATGATCCAATTCCACTTCAAGTATATATCCAAAGGATATGAAATCAGTATGTTGAAGAGACATGTGCATTACCATGTTCATTGCAGCATTATTCACGATAGCCAAGGTATGGAATCAATCTAAGTATCCACCAATAGATGGATGGATAGAGAAAATGTGGTATATATACACAACGAAATACTATTGAGCCTTTAAAAAGAAGGAAATATTGCCATTTATGACAACATGGATGAACCTAGAGGACATTATACTAAGTGAAATATAAGCCAGGCAAAGAAAGATAAGTTTATATTTGAACTTTTATCTACCTTAGTTCTTTTTCTTTGTTAACATTATAAAATATATTATGAAAACAAAACGGCAGCTACCCTTTGATCTGAAAATCTTGCAATCCCAAACACATACACATTTTACCAAACAATTGGATGTAATTAACCTTAAGAACAGGTAGTGTGGTGTTTTATTTTAGCAGCAACTCATGTGAATAGCTTAATTATGCAAAGTAATATTTCTCTTTTACTGGAAATACATAGATAAAAGGGAATCGATGGCAATAGAGGAGATAATATATTTTTACACAGACAAGAAAAATGCAAAATGAGATCAGACACAACATTTGTGCAAGCTTGAAGGCTTTAATTTAGCTAAATGTACTATATTAAAGCTATGCTTCTGTCTGAGAAGCAAATACGCATAAGACAGAGAGGGACAGTGAGCCAAAATTTTAAGAAGCAGGGCTCTGAAGATAGACAACACAAAATTGGGTTCTAATTCTGGATCTGCCACATACATACACTCAGTGGTCTCATGGTTCTCATCCATCCATAAGTTTGGGACTATGAAACCCATCCAGGAGCATCATTTTAAATAATAAATGACATAGAGATGCTCCTGATGTAGTTGGTGTTCAAACACTACCAGCACTCACCCCAAGCCATAACCCACTTGCTCACACATACACACATCCCAGCTAGTTTCATTCAGTTAGATCATTATTAAATTACTTTGAAAAATGAAAGCAAAAAAAATTTAAAAATATGAAAATTATAAACAACCAAGATGAGGATGATCTGGCATTATACAAAATTTAAATATGAACTCTACTTATAGCCTTTAATATGGGGCCTCCTTATTAGACAAATAGCTGGCCTTGTATTTACTATACTAGCAGCTTTCAGAACACAACTGAGAAATTAATACTTAATTGCAATTTGGTGTCAGACCAACTCTGTTGGTATTATTCAGCTTCAAAATTGGTGATGAGGCTGGCTGCAGTGGCTCACACCTATAATCCTAGCATTCTGGGAGGCCAAGACCGGAGAATAGCTTTAACTCAGGAGTTTGATATCAGCCTGAGCAAGAGCGAGACCTTTTGTCTAAAAATAGAAAAATTAGCTAGGCATAGTGGCGCATGCCTGTAGGCCCACCTACACTGGAGGCTGAAACAGGAGAATCACTTGAGCCTAGGAATTTGTAGTTGCAGTGACCTATGTTGATGCCACTGCACTCTACCCAGGATTACAGAGCAAGGCTCTGTCTCAAAAAAAAAAAAAAAAAAAAAAAAATTGGTGATGGTAATATGTCTCTATTCTTTCCAACCTGGAACACAACAAAGGAAAGATAAAACTGAATTACTTGTTACTTACATTCCAAATTTCAGACCTCATGAATAAGAGAGTCTTAGAGAAAACACAGCATTCAACTTCTTCCCATCTATAATAGACAAGATAATATATGAGTCAAGACTTTAGAGAAATCTATAGCAATAAAGCTCAATCATTCATTTTTAGTATGGTTCATTAAAATGGTCCTATGAGTGAAGGCTCAAGAATTTCAGGAGTTGACCTTGTAAACGCCATGGGTTAAACTGAAATAAAAGCTTTTTCTTTTACCCCAGATAAAACTGGCTGTGTCTAGAAGAAAATGTAGAATATATTATTCAGGTTATATAACTAACTGAATATTAGTTATTACTCTTATTGCTTCAAAGCAATTTAAAATTTTCATAACTAGAAGTTGACCCTTAAATGCTTAACTAGATTTCCATATTTTAAAGAAAGAGTTGTCTTTGACTTTCATATTACCAGTTTGCTTTACATTCTCTAGAAACAGCTTAGATGAAATGATAGCCATCTTTTTGTTTCTCCATCACCAATTTTTAAACAACCTTACTTTTTTTTAAGTGCTCATTGAACAACAGCCCCTACTCAAGGAAACTGGATGGGGCCCAAGATGCACAAAGGTGCCGTTAGCCTTCCTTCCTCTCCTAGTTGAGTTATGTGTGTAAAGGAAACCATTGCCACAGAAGACCTCCACTCTTCTCAGGCACAAAATCACTCTTATTAATGGAAAATATGACATACTTGGGGAGAAGTGCTAGAACTTTAATGGGTATTGTTTAGTGTTCAACATTCTAAATGGTTTAGACAATTAAGAGAATAAATAAGACCAAGCAGGTATAGCTAAAACAACTGTGTTAACTCAGATGTCAGATAGCTATCTCACTAAGGCAAGCAATCAGTCTTAGGTTGTACAGAGTGGAGGTAGTATGGTATAAGATTGCAAGGAGCCCAAAGTTGTTTTAGGGAAAACAGTTTAATTCCTCTACTGATACTTTGTCACAAGTGTTGTCTGAGAGTCCTTCCATCACAAACAATCAGACTGAAAAGCACTATAGAGGTCATCCCTTCAGTTTACAGATGAGAATTTGAGGCCCAGCGAGGAGAGTGGCATGGTTTGTCTTAGCTCAGAAATCATGTGTGTATGTGAGAATTATACATAGCAAACAAAGTGAAAAAAAAAAAAAACAAACCTCAAAAGTGTGGCAAATGTAAGTCTGGTGAGTTAGATACAAACAAAAGAACTCAAATAACCATTCATATTGGAACAGTTAAGTGTTATCAAATCTGAGAGGAAAAATGCACAGACTTCAGTGTTCGAAGAAGGCTAAAGTCTCAGCTTGGCAACTCACAATTTTATAACTCCTGTGCAAGTTACTTCAGTTCTCTAAGCTAGAGTCCTAATTTTTTAAATTGAGAACAAAACTCCCATCTAAGGAGAGATCATATATAAAAACTCCTAACATAGTATCTTAGTAACAACACACTTCTCTTTTCTACTCATTCTTCTACTTATTAATTGATTTGCTTTGGGGCTAGAACAATATCCAAGGTGATAGATGCTTGAAATTCAACAATAAATGACTATTATGAAAGGTAAGTGTTAAGTATTGTATTTAGCCTACCTATAGGAAAAAGTCTGGATGAATGTACATCAAGTTCCTAAGAGTAATTTTCTTTATATGATAGACAAGTTGGAGACAAGTCCCATTCAGTCTGCTGTAACAAAATTCCGTAAACTGGGTGGCTTATAAACAACAGAAATTTCTTTCACGTGGTTCTGGAGGCTGGGAAGTTCAAGATCACGATAATAGCAGATTTGGTATCTGGTAAGGGCTTGCTTCTAGTTCTTAGATGGTGCCTTAGAAGTGTCTCCTTATAGGATGGAAGAGGCAAGGTGGCTTCCTTGGGCCTCTTTTATAAGGGCACCAATCATCTTCCAAAGGCCCCACTTCCCAACACCATCACTCTGCTGTTAGGAATTCTTCATATGAATTTTGTGGGGACACAAACATTTCAGCCCATGCAAGGAGGTTTTAACTTTTGAAAGCCCATATATCTCTAATATTTCCAATGTTCTATAATGTGCATTTCTTAGCTTAATGATAAATAGAAAATATAAGATAAAAAGGAGGATTATTAGCTACATCTATAAAACCCTTTTACTGGTCGGGCATGGTGGCTCACACCTGTAATCCTAGCTCTCTGGGAGGACAAGGTGGGAGGATCACTCAAGGTCAGGAGTTTGAAACCAGCCTAAGCAAAAGCAAGACCCCGTATCTACTAAAAATAGAAAGAAATTAATTGGCAAGCTAAAAATATATAGAAAAAAATTAGCCAGGCATGGTGGCACATGCTGTAGTCCCAGCTACTTGGGAGGCTGAGGCAGTAGAATTCCTCGAGCCCAGGAGTTTGAGGTTGCTGTGAGCTAGGCTGATGCCATGACACTCTAACCCGGGCAACAGAGTGAGACTCTGTCTCAAAAAAAATAAAAATAAAGATAAAATAAAACCCTTTTACTGCATTTACTATATTACGAGTGTTAATCCTCCTGGCTACTCTCCTTAAATTTCATGATTTATTTAAGAGAACTATGTGGACATTTCCAATGAATGGAAGGAAGGATCTATGCATAAATGCCCTTTTTTGTTCATGACATAATTTTTCTGCTATCAATCTTAATTCGTATCCTTGAAACATATTCAGCCAAACTTTTTTATTCACTAGCTTTGGCTTTCCTTACACTTTTATTTTCCCTTCCAAATAATAGAATGTTCTTTAACTTCTCTTATAAACCAAAATTTTCAACACTTGGTCATCAGAACATTTTCCGTCTTTTATATTGTGTGCTACAAGTAGACACTATGTATGTGTGATAATCCATTTGGTACATCATGATGCTTCTGATTCTTTAGGATGTAATCTGAAGCCATGCTTGCTGCTTTTAATAACTATGTGATACTCTTGGCGCATATTTGACAGAGGAGCTGTAACAATTCCTGGAGTTCTTTTCTCCCAAGACATTGAAAACTACATATTTCACATTTGGGTAGCTACTGTATTTTTCTGGCTGTGTCCTGCCATGTATTCCCTCTGAACTTGAAGATCTCTGAGGGTAGGTTTTTAGAATTCCCCCCTTCGTGTCCGCAATAGATATCAGAAAAGAACTTGAATAGGAAAGAAGGGTTTTTTTCACATTGTATTTACTCTTCTGTTCCTAACTAACAGGAAAGCCAATTATCTAGTTTCAAGACAACCGCTACAGGCAAAAAATACTCAAAATTATCTACTTCTTGTAGCTGAAAGCACCCTCCTATCAGCAACATTTTTTTTTAATTTAAAGAGGTTTATTCTGAGCCAAGTATGAGGACCATGGCCCAGAACCATACCTAAGAAGCCTTGAGCAAGAGGTCTCACCATGGTTGGGTTACAGTTTGGTTTTATACATTTCATGGAAACAAGAATTACTTGTCAATCATAAATCAATATGTGGAAGGTATACATTGGTTTAGCTCAAAAAGGTGGGACATCGCAAAGTGGGTCTTACAGGCTATAGATGAGTTTAAAGATTCTTTGATTTGCAATTGGCTAAAGAAATGAAGCTTTGTCTAAAGACTTAGAATGTTTTAAGTTAAGGAACTCTGCTAGTCAGAGACAACCACCAGACATAGACTCAGACTCACGAGATCTATTGGGTTAATTGAGGACCTTCAGGGATGGTTCAAGATTTGTCTTACACAGCCTTAGGCCTGATAATGAGTTACAAAGGATATCTCCAAGAATGGAGGGGGGCATGATGAGGCATGTCTGACCTCCCTTCTTATGGTTAGCAACCCAGCTTTAGTGTAATTCTGGGCTCCCCTTGGCCAAGAGGGTGTCCATTCAGTCAGATAGAGGGCTTAAGAGTATATTTCAGTTCACAATTCCTCTCCTTTTGGCCAAGCAACATCAATGGCTAAACTCTTATTTTGTCCCATCATTGCCAGGGTGGTGTGGCTGTCTGTCCCAGGTCTTTCCAGGCCATTGGTGGGACCCTTGTGGCCAAAAGGACATAAGAGCCAAAAGGGCTTATAGCCAATTAAATGTTGTAGGCCAGATGGGAATGGAGGTAGACAGGCATGCATCAACCCTTTAAAACCTTCTAGGAACATAAGAGTAAAAATCAAAATGTCAAACGCAAGGATACAAAATTAATTTATCTATAAGCATTGACCTACTATATATTCTTGGGTTTAATTGCAGACTTGTAGTTATATAGAACGTAAACTTTGTTAACCTTTTAAGCTAAGGAATTTAGAGACTTTTGTTGTGTCTTAATATTTTTGTCTCTGTAGTAATTTTGTCCTAAAGTGGTTGATAAATTTTGTTATATCTCTATTTTCATAAACTCCATAACTGAGAACAATTATACTCAGGAAGCTTTTTAAGTCAGTGGGAAGCAGGAATTCTTTATGGTTGGGATGGATGTTTGGACCATGTGGCCCCAAAAGGCAAAGTTTCTCATTTAGTATTTGTTTAGGTTTCTGTGTGCCCATCCTTGATCTGAAGGGTCTGAACGAACTCCATTCCTCGAAATCAGCCCTTACAGTCTCATGTGCCCACAATCTCATGTGTCAATTTCATGACAGTCCCTGGGCCAAGAGGAAGGATATTTTCAGTTTTAGTAGCATTGGCAGAGAATAACATGCTGGGCTCAGTGGGATTCAATAGTTTTAAATCCTGGAAATATCAGGTAAACTTTACTGTTCACTTAAGGCTTCTCATGACTATGGAAAACAAATCAGGAAAATCAGTAATATTTTAAATAAAAAGTCATTAAAAATTTTTAGTTCTTTCCATGACATTTTCTTAAAGTAGCAGATCTTGTATTGTAGCTGATTATAAACTATTGTTTGAGAAGAATCAGAGTTAAATAATAATTTTCTGTGGAAGATAAAAGTCTTAGAATAGTAATGGTTAAAGACACAAAGGAGATTTGGTTATTTCTGTGGCACACAAAACATTGCAATATATAATTATTATTCATAATATATAGCAAGACATATTGCAATTTTAGGAATCTCATACAGATCTGGAACAGATGTTTATAATATA